TCAATTACTAAATTAAAGTTTTGTTGGTTTTGAAAAGGTTTTTCTGTTGCAGAATGCACAGGCCTATGGGGAAATATTTAACTGGCCCTGAGTTCTGGAAAGTTGCATGGTTGAGCTTGCAGAGACATGACAAGAGGCATAAGGTAGCTCCTTCCAAGGAGTCGGGAAAGATGTGGTCTTTCTGGGAATTTCTTTTAGATTTCTTTCCCAGAATCTAATTGGGATTTGTGTCTCTACCCAAACAGGTGATGCTTTCTGCCACCCATCTCAGGTGGTGGGTACAAGAACAGTTGCTGTGGAAGTTGTTCAGGAGGGTACTGCGAGGAACTGTGTAAAACTTGCATGTTTGCTCCTTTTCAAACCTGTTTGAGATGAGGGGTAACTGCAGTTTTTGTTTCTGTCTGTCTGTCTGATATTTAAAGGAAATCTGTGGAATTGGCTTGAGCTATGGTAGCCAAATGTTGTTTGTTAAGGATGACCCTAGGAAGAACTAGACTGGCACTCACCCAAATCGGAGATGTTTACTGAGTGTGTTGGTACACAAATCCTTCATTTGTTCAATTGCGATTAGCATGGAACCTTTAAAATGGCATTCTCTTTGCTTTCCTGTGCTGTTTTTTAAAATTTAACTGACTGCAAATTATCTTGTGACACATGTAAATTATCATGACACATATGCATGACATATGACTGCCCGCATTCTGTAATTTGGGGCAATTGAATGGGGGTCAGAAAAGCATTTGATACACTTCTCCTCACATATCTCTTGCACTGACATATGCAAAGATGTCTCTTTGCATATCAAAATAAGTAGAGAATCTCAGTTTGCAGACAGCTAGGAATGCAGTTCATTGAGCAGTAGAGAAACCTGCCAGTATAGAGGAAAACCAAAAACATGTGAAGGTGCTTCTATTTTTTCCTATATAGCTGGGTAGCTTTTCTTCATCATGTCAGCATATGAAGGCTAAAGGTGCAGGTTGAAGTTCTGGAACTGTATCAGATTTATGTGAAATTTCTCTTAAGGCTAAATGACTGATCAGAAAACTTGGATGTAGATCTCCACTTTCCTAAGATCTGTATATGTTTGACATTTGGTGGGTGATTCTGTTTTGCCTAGGACGTGGAGAGTCAGCTGTGGAGTTTTTGTTAATATTGTGTTCTGTTCTCATTTACCTTGTGATTTATTTGAGTAATTATGCTGTCATTAATTTTAATAATTGGTGCAGCCAGAGGTTTATGCTGTTAGTGATACTTTATTTTCACAGTGTTAACTGTAAGATCACAAAATCTCAGTGGAAAAAAACATGTTCTTCATAGTCTTTAGACTTCTCAGCAACATCCAGCTGTACCAAAATTTTCTTTTAGATGAAACAATTCATCTCCCCCCTCATCCCTTGTTTGGTTTTTTTCCTCTCAGGGCCGTTGCTTGGTTTCTTACAGTAAGAACTGCCCTTGGGGCAGAGTAAAAATCTGTATCATTGATATGTGTCCATAATTGGATCTATTGGTGCATTCAGGAAACAGTTTTCTTGCTGGACAAGATTCCATCTTCCCCTTTCTTATGCATGACCCTGAGAACCAGCTTGCTTGTTTTTGTCATGCTTCGGGTGACCAAAACACAGCATTTGCATTAACAGCCAGTATTGTAGTCAAAATGGGGTTACAGATTAAAAAAAGATGAAATAAACAGTGGGTTTAGGAATAAATTCAAGACATTTCATTCTGTTTGGTTTCTAACAGTCCAGAAAATCTAAGCATTCTATGGAGTAAATGAGCAGCTTTAATGAGAGCCGTTCATCTTGTTTTTCCCTGCTTCTTGTCCGTGATGCTGTATTCTCAGACAAGGGTTGAAGGACAACTGCGAGCCTGGTGGTTTTGTGGGTTTGGGTTTTTTTGGGGGTTTTTTTGGGGTGTTTTTTAGGTTTTTCATTGGGTTGTTTTTTTGGGGGGTGGGTTGTGTCTGAAGATTACTGTTTCATCAGCATCAAAAAGTTCACCCGTTTCTTCCATTGTAAATGAGTTTTTTTTCCAAAGTCCAGCACAGAGAGCTCCTGGTGGAAAAGCAGACAAGTGCAGTAGTTGCAAAATAAAATGTTTAAAGCTTGGGCTGTGCTGCCACAGCAATGTGTATCATAAGGATGAATGCCAGAATATCTGCTCAGGTGGTGTGAAATCTCTGGCCATATTAGGTATGAATCATCTTTGGGAAAATGTAGTAGCACTTGGCATTCTCAGATCTTGTCCTCTGGATTGTGGATGCCTGTGATAGTGCTGGCTGCATCATCTCATTTTTGCTAAAAGTAAAACCACAATTGCAGGAATCTGGTGTATTTTAGTTGTCAAAATGCTTTAAAAATAGACAATTGAAATATTAAATAGTATATTTCAGGGTAAATATTTATATTTATTATGTAATTTTGGTGCTGTTTTACCTTAAGGGCAAATTCAAAGCTTAACAGCTTGACTCATACTTGTTCTTCCCTGCTCCTCCTGTGTATGAGCTCAGTCTCTTGAATATCAAGTGCTTGTGTTCCCAACTGCTTTTCTGTGCAGAGCATTCCAGCACTGCGTAGATGTTTGTGTCCAACCTGCTTCTTCCACACATTCCAGACAGCCAGATGACTCCATAATCTGCATCTATATTCAGGCATAAAACTTACTTCAGTAGTGCTCTACAGTTCTGGCCCCTTCCAGAGTCAGGTTTTCACAACAGCCGTTATTAGTTCAGAGCAAAACACCATGAAGGTAGTTCCAGCTTTCTTCTTGGATATACATGAAATCATAAAGCTGTTTTCCTCTTCTTCTTTTTTTTTTTTTTTTTTAATATGAGAAAACAGTTCAGTATTCTTCTCTCTTAACAGAAATTCTGCTCCAAAAATGATGAATCAATAAGATAAAATAATTCTTTAAAGGATAATACAGTTTTTTGTGGTGTTTCAAATACACTATGCCTTTTCTTATCAGTAAGGGCAGAATAATGGTTCTAAATGAAATAATAAAATACCTTTTATTGTTAAAACCTTCTCATCATAGATGTTTTGAATCTGATCTTACATTTTCTTTGCTTTTTTTTTGTACTTGGAGCCCAGCATGGAAAAATGTTTGGGGACCTTCTTTTGACCCTAGCTAATGACTTCTGTTACATGATAAAGTAAAGAAGCAGAATTCAAGGCATTGTAACTTGAACTTGGAAGTTTAAGCTGTTTCCAGACTTGGATTCTAATCACAATTTGGATCAGTTTATACTAGTGCATTAGGATTTAGGAGGGAAGATCTTAAGTTTTACAGGGTCAGCTTCTTAGAGTGGAGTTGGGGAAAATTAACCAAAGGAGGGAATAAAGAAGGTACTTACAGAACCTGTCCTGTGGTTATATTGTAAAGCAACTAAGGTGGAAGTGAGAAAAGGCACAGAATTTAAAATGCACTTGAAAGACCCATCCCTAAGAGCCTCTTGAGATACCTCTGACAGGTATTTTGAGAAATAATGAGCACTTGGCAATCGCCACTGGCAGCACCTCATGGCTCTCATTCCAAATTAGTAAATTAGGGAGTGTCATGCTCTGAGAACCACATGCAGATTTACCGGCCTAATTTTAGTTGTAACTTATTTTTTAACAGGTTATATTAAACTAATAGTTCTACTGTCTGAATTTAGAATTTTAAGGACAATTTAGAATTTAGAATTTTAAGCTATTGAGCTATTGACTGTGTGCAAGCTGCCAACCGTGAATAGGCAATTAAAAGGTTTATTTCTATGTTTCTGTTGTGGCCCATAACATGGAGCAGTGGCAGTGATGTGGAGGAAACAGCCATCACATGAGATACTGAGACATTCTCGTGAGCTCTGTTCCTCCCTTAGCCTTGCTCTGCCCTTGCTGGCAATTCAAGGCTTTGGTGATTGCTTTCTGATGTTGCCTCATATGAGGACTCTCAAAAATTGGTGTCTTTGTGGGATTCAAATAGTTTTAAGTCTTTGATGGGTTCTCTCTATTCTGAGGTACAGACCATATTGCCCAGTCCAGTTTCTGTTTGGTCAGGCTTTTTAACTTAGTGTAATTGTTGAGGTGATTTATCTGAAATATGATGGATCCATTGACTGAATACATACCAGCTTTAGCTAATACTTACAAAGTATGCATTTTTCCTAATACTATATAGTTAAAAGTCTATTCCCCATAAGAGAGTACAAGCTTCTTTTTTGCAGTTTGAGAAATAAGTAGTTAAATTATCCAGATAGTTTTTAAATCCATTGTCACACGCTTTAGCACACCATTCAGTCTTTCCTTTCTCTGTTACTTCTTTTCTGTAATGGAAATATATTGTTTGCTCTATACAGATGATGTTTATGTGTTGTTTATTAAGTGCGCAATAGAAATTCTGAAAGAAGTATAGTGCAAGGGTACATTAACTTGGAATATTCTAAATTTTCTTCAAGTAGTTTTGGTGAAATAAAATTATGTTTTTTGTTTAAAAGAAAAGGATTGCTCTGTGGTGTTTAAATGATGGTTATATAGATGTATTTGTGTTGGTATGTACCTGTGCTCCTTTTGTATTTTCACAATTTTACTATAGTGTGGAATAACTAAAAAGCATAGGACTTTCCAGTAGGTTATGCTGCACTGTAGTATATCTGCAACAGAGTACATGAGTAGGATAGATAATTTTGAAGTATCTTAAGCAGTTATTTTATTCTATTTTGGTGTGTTTCAAGAAAGGAATAATTGTCTTGGACAGCTGATATAAGCAAAGGCCTGTGATATGTGAAAAAGAACTGTCTCCATTGGAAGAACCTTCAGATGTACCCAGACTTCTTTAAGTGCTTGATTTAAAAGAATTTGTGGTATTAATTTCCAATCTTAGTCTTTCGAACTTTGCTTAATGAACTTTTCATAGTTACCAGCACTTCATTGTTTAGCTTATTACTATTTTAGTGATTATTAAATAAAGGTGGCATTTGGTGCATTTAATGAAACTGAAGGGATTTCATTCCCCTTTCACAGGCCCTGCCTTACAGGAAGTGAACTTGCTGCTGCAATGCTTCAGGTGGCTGGGGAGATGGGAAGCATTCTTACTGCCTTCGATAATTGAAGTTTCTGGACACCTCCGGTGATGACTTCTATCTTACCGTGAGGCAATCAAAGAATATGGCATTTGATAATACTTCTAATGGCTTATGAATATGGAAATCTGTATGAGTTCCTTGTTAGATAAATGAGGACATAATTATTTATCACTTGTGTTCCTAAAACTGCCCTTGAGATACCTTTTATATCAGATGCAGATATACAATACTAGCAACATCAGTAATGAGGCATTGAGGAAAAAAGTAATTTCCCTGTTACTGTGCTACTGCATTATTTTAAATGCTGCCTGGAAATTTTTGGAGATGACAGCCAGATACAATTTTAGTGATAAAGATGAATGACTTTCTACAAGCAGGCCTGATTTTTCATTAAAACTTAGGTAGATATAGTGATGCTGGGTGAGTGGCAACATAGAATTTTGACAAAGACATTGCAAGAAGCCAAGAGAAAAGATTTTGCAGTGCACAAAAAATATAGTAAAAAACTTTCCCAGTAACAAAATACAGTAAAAATAGAGTAACAAAAGTATAAATGAAAGGTGTTGCAACCAGGCAAACGGATGTAAGTTTGAGGGGAAAGTTGTGTAAAACGTCGTTTCAGTTGTTTACAAATACTGAGAGAAAAAGCTTGAAAATTGCAAGCCTCTGTTAATTTTTGAGGGGAATTTCTTCAGTACTTTAAGATAGGTAAGGCCTACATTTGTGGGGAGGAACACACTCATTTTGTATGTTGTTGCAGAATTAAAATTGGCTTTACAGAGTGTAAGTTGGAAAAACCATGCCACAATCTGTATGTTATTTTAATTATGGATTGCCCAGCTATTTTGGTGTGCGTGTGGAAGAAAATTTATCAGTGACATTTAATAGACTGTTTGTGCTGGATAAAGCAGAGGTAAATCCTCCAATGTTAGACCCTCAGTGAAGCCTTATTTCATGGTCCTTTTAAGCTTTTCCTAAGCAAGGAAGTAAAATGTGATTACTGTCTTTATTCTCGTACATCCCGCTCATTCAAACAAAATGTTGTAAAATAGTTCATAAACTGCCTTTTGATATGTATCTTGTCATGTCTGTGAAGTGTTAATTATTTCCCCTAATGATATGATTTAATGGTTAAATGTTTCACTATTAATCTTCTGCCATAAAAAGATTCCTTGCCTCCACTCAGGGCTCTCGGATAACTTCTACAAACTAAAACAAAGAAATCATTCACATGGGATATCAACAGAAACAGCTGTCACTGACTTCTCATTTGCATCTTTTAATAACTAAGCTGATTTCCTTATCAGATATCAACTTTCATGTATATGAAATCCTAATATCTCCAGTTCCCAAGTAGTTCTAGAGTCAAATAACAAGATATTTAGCAGCTATGAAGTCTTGGAGGGCTGAGACAGTTAATTAAGGGTTCTTGATTCAGGCTGTATGAGAACTTCCTCAGCAGCTCAGGTTGAGTTGAACAGACCAGAGGAGCCAATGTGTGGAATTCTCTGATTCCTTCCCCTTCAGAGAAATCCCCAGAGCCTTGTGGAGAGACTTATCATAGAGTCTTTCCCCACCTGGGCAGACAGAAAGGAGTTCCTCATGGATAAAAATCCACATAAGAGAAGCAATTTCCCCAACTGTCATCAGTTTCAGCAGAAGAGCTAAAAGCTGAATGAAAATAGACTATGTTTTTCCTTTGGATTTTTTTTTTTTTTTTAATTTATCACTGAGTCACACTGAAGACACAGAGGACAAATGGCAAACATACTGTAGAGCTGCTTGTTTATGAATCTTAGACCTCCCAAAGCACTCAATAAACTGATTGTGTAATGAATAAATGTATGCTTCCAAAGAAATGAAACAAAGCGACCTGGATTATTTTTTTTTTCTTCTGGGAGTGTTTGTCTGATAGAACCTGCAAGGAATGCTTGACACTAAAAGGATACTTCAGAGCTACTAGGATATACATATATGGATACATACTTACTTTATATATATATATATATATACACATGAAATTTCTCTTTCCCCTGAATTTTCTCAAATCGGAACATAGAATTTTGTGAATGTGGCAGGAAGTTTATGCCAAATGTTAAAAATGTCAGTATGTGAAAAATGATCGATCACTACAAAAACACTTAGAGCAACTTGTCTAGTGCTGGTGGTTTTTAACATGTTCTTTATTTCAAAATTTTTCATCCAGTAGCATAGAGTCAGTAAACAGGACTGTTGTGGGAGTACAGCCTGAAAGGAAGTTTGAATAATCTCTTAGCAAGAAAACTCTGCATGAGGATTCCAATGTACTTAGGTATTCATCTTGAGTAGGTTGATTAAAAACACGAGTGTCAGCTTTCAGACTAAAACCTATTTGTGTAAATCCTTATCAAGAAACAAGGAACAACGTCGTTATGAAAGGCTATTGAATTTTGGGGGATTTTGAGAGATTTAGTGCTCTTCCCTTAAGCCTCTATTCTGTGAAGCCAAGCTACTAGTTCTGGAGTGCCACTGCAGATCTGATACTTTCTCCCTGGGTAGTTACAAGCCTTTCTAATAAGGACTCAGGTTTGGAAAAGCTGATGAATTTTCTGTGAGCAGCATTTAGGTTTTAGTCTGAGTGTACTTCACATGATGCAACAGAGTGGTAAGGATTTTCCTCTGGTAATGTCTTCAGAAGTGTTGGCTTTTCCTTTGGAATGGCAGAACAGCACTGTGAAAGGAACAGCCTTAGAATCTTTCTCGTATGATGATAGTTGCCAAAGGCATGAATAAAAGCACTTGCAATCTAATTTTGTTAAAAGCACATAGTGGTTGTCTGTATTTCCAGTGCTTGAACAACTGGACTTGAGGCCAGAGGATGAGAATAAAGTGTGTCCTAATCTTGTACTTCCTCTAGGCTACGGGCACAGGCTGGCTGGATGTGTCACTATAAACTCGGAGAGCCAAACTTGCATCTCTCTTGGCATTGCTCCCCAGATCACCACGTGCTGCATGTCCACACAATTCGTGAGACACTCATTTCTGTGGTTTTGAGGCAGAGGGTAGGTGTGCTCTGTGGCCTATAAAGTCACAAACCTGGCACTTTGAACTGCTTCACTTCCCCCGGTTGCCAGTGCTGGGTGTTGGTGCTGCATTTCAATTTTTGTAAGAGGTACGAAATCGTAATAATAAGACCCGCACTTATGTTCATAATTGTCAAAAATACTTACTTTTGGCATTCCCTATTAGACTGTTAATTCCTAAACTCAGACTTGGTGGCGTCTGATAATTGCTTGTCTGCAATTATGTTAAGCCCTGTGGTTGATCAGAATTTCAAGTTTGTTTATTGTTGATGTGATTCCATAATTTTTGATTTTGTTGATTAGTGCGGTGAAATTTCCTCAGTACATTGGGTCTGTTCTTCAGATCTTAGTGTTGATAGGCAGTCACATATATTCTCACTATGTTGGAAGTAAATGTATGGTTCTTTGATCACAGATATATTAAATTAATTTATAATAGTCGTTGAAGAATGGAGAACTAGCAGGAATTCTGAATTTTGAAGTCTGTCTTAATAGAGATTTTTCTGTAATCAGAGTGACATTGAGAGAAAAAAAGCTCTGGGGGCTAGGAATGGGACAGCCTTTATGAAGATTTAATAGCATAATAATCACTAGGGGAAAGTATTTTCTTTTCTGTCATCTTTAAATTTGTCCTAATTTTAAGCCTAATTTTGAACTCCTCTCTTTGGTAGCAATCTATTGAGTTTGTAAGTTTTTGCCATGCACAGTTGTGGAATCAATGTTTCATCCATTCATCCATCTTTCTGTAAGATAAAGAAATCTTCCATAGCTTCATCCCTTCCAACAGCTTCCATTCGTAAAAGTCAAGGAGAGATGGATGCCTCACTGGATATTTTGGTTTGATACCCAAAACTAACCAGGGGAAGTTAGTACTGCCCATCCTTCTCCTTAGAGATATATGGAATCGTCTGCAGTACTTACTGTGTCAAACTACATTGACTTCCAGAATCCAGATTTCGTGGCTAGTAAGACTCCATTTCTCTCCATGACTCACATACTAATGGCATGGAAAAACAAAATCAGCAAGGCAAAGCTTACAGGAATGCAGTGAGCTCTCAGACTCAGCAGCAGAAGGGAGGTTAAGAGGAGATTGTGTGTTTACAGTTTTTTGTTGTTCTTGATGGATTTTGTTTCCAGAGCTGACTCTGGAATACTCAAAGTTTGCTGAGCCTTAGAATGAAGCAGCAAACAGAACAGCTGTTGGATTTCACACTGAAGTTGTTTCACTCATTTATAATGCAATTATTTGAAGGTTTCTTGCATGGCACGGTGGCAGAGAGCTCTGTTGGTGGAGGAGTGAAGGAATTTGTATTCACGGGATCTGCTTCTGTGAATGTCCTCTGCTGAACTGCAGTGTAGGTGGTCAGAGGAAAGCTTGTAGCTAAATATGTACCCTTGTGGTGTGAATCCATGCCTTAGTGCCATCAGAGAGCTGCTGCTGGCTTGGCTAAAAAATTAGGTGGCTACTCAGTTTACATATCCAAGATAGAACAGTCCATTATTATTCATCTGTTGAAATAACCCATTTTTCTCTTCTACATGAATTCTGTGTCATTTTCAAATGCAAAGATGATTTGTTGCTATATATGATTGATTGTTCAGGCTCCCCTGTGAAGAAATGTTTCAGTATCTGTTGAGTGTTAATTAAATACTATCCTTCTGTGTTTCAAATAGCGTTTAACATGGTATCCTCTGGCAAATGTTTTTATGTGGAAACAACAAGGCTTCCTGAACACAACTGAACCAGAAGATTGAAGGCAAAAGTTGCCAACGTGCTGGAGAGTGCTGTGGATCAGGTTTTAGTTGGTGACACTATAGCTGCTGGCTGTGAACAGACACAGCAAAAAGGTCACTTGGTTGGTCAGTGCTCACTTCCTTGCATTGCTGGTACACATTAGTTTAGAATCTTTCAGGCTTTAAGTGACACATTTGCCTGTTGGCTTTCCTTCCAGTCAAAGGCTCTCAAAAAATAGTGTTTGGCATTTGCAGTGGAAACCACATACCGTTTAATTCATTATATTTTTAAAAATAATTCCTGTTTCAAAGTGATTTTTTTTTTACTTTGCTGAAGTTTCTGCTGCATTCCTGTTTCTTAAAATACTGAAATGAAATTTAATTTTCAAATAACAGTTTGTAGAAAACTTGAGTGGTTGAGCAGGTGTGTGAAAAGAACTCACAGCCCAACAGAAAGGTTACTGCTTTTTGTTTCCAATTAGAAAACCCTATCTGATTAACCCAGTTTTG